GGGGGGGGGAACGTGGTGGAGGCCAAAATGTTTATTAGAATATTCTTCAGGATTAACATTCAGGACTCCTGGCAGTGCTCTGGAGACCTTCTAGAATGTCGGGGATCAAACCTGGGTCAGCTGCATGCAAGGTTAACTTCCCTGCTGTGCTGCCACTCTGGTTCATAATGGTGACCTTTTTATTTTTAGGTTGTTTATTGGGCCACACTTGGAGTTGCTCTGGGGTTACTCCTCGTTCTGCACAGAGTGCTCAAGGGATCATATGGGGTGCTGGGTCAGCCATGTGCAAGGCAAACACACCACCCCTGTACTGTTGATACAGTCTTGAAATCTGGATTTCAGTCTGAAATCTGGGATTCTCAAGAGGAGAAAGGTAAAAAAAGGAAATTTGTACCTAATGGATATAACCCCTGGGTGAGAGCTGTAACTTAAGGAAGATTGATTGTCTACTGTTCCCAGAATTGGTGTGCCAGTGTTCCCAAAGCAGGGTGCCCCTCAAAAATTTTTTCAAGGAGCCAAAGCAATAGTGCAGTGGTAAGGCATTTGCCTTGAATGCTGCTAACCTGGGCTTAATCCCTGGCACCCCATATGGTCTCTGAAGCTCGGCAAGAGTAGCCCAAAAACAAAAGGTTATTTTAATGCTTGAAAAACAGTCCAAATTAGGGTCGAGTCGTTTTATTTGTAGTTCATAGGTTTTAGAGTGCTTTTTAGGTCTAGGCGCAAAGCAAATGTTTTCCATTGCAATGCTCATTTGACACATGTTTTACTCCAAAGGCATTTTTAGGAGTAGATTAGTAGTAACTAAAACTACTTTTAGTTTTAGCTTTTTACCATTGCTTGCTTTAAGCAACTCAAAATGGTGCTTATCGGGGTATTTTTTTTTAACTAACTTAAATACTTAATGATAAGATTTCATAGTAATCCAGAACCACGATTAAAACGTGTAATTGTTACCTAATTATTTTTGCCAGAAGGTTTTTAATTTCCCAAGGGGAATTCTCTCAGCATGTTACTGCCCATCTTTGACTATTCCAATACTGTTACACCAGAAAATGAACTGACTGGATAGTGAAAGAGGATATAGTGTTTTAGATAAGACAAAGGAAGCTGGCACTGATGGTAATACTACATATTAGGCAATTAATAGGAAGATCTTCATCAGATACAGTGGTGTGGTCCACAAAATTTGGGAGTTTCATAAAAGTTAAAATTTTAATACAAGAAATTGAAATCTAGAGTGGTTCATTCAATTGGTTATATTGAACCTGGGTTCAAATCTTAGTTCTTAATAATTTGAGATGCTCTCAAAAATAATCTGGCTTTGTGTTGGACCTTATGTGGTGCTGGCATGGAACTAAAGTTGGCTGCGTGTAAGGCAAGCTCCCTAACCCATGTAATTTATTTAGCCACTCTCCAACATAAACCAAGGACTTTATTTTTGTTTTGGGCCACACTCAGCAGGGCTCAGGTATTATTCTTGGTGGGGCTGGGAGACCATGTGTGCCAGGGGTTGGTGAGTCTGGGTTGAACACACCTTACTATACTATCTGACCCAAGGACTACAATTTTAAAACTGCTGGAGAAAGCACAAGGGTTAAGGCACTTGTCCACTTGGTACTGTTCCCAGATCTGCATATGGTCCCCCCAACCCTCCACTTCCAAGTAATTGTACAACATAACTTTAAAAAAATTTTTTTTCAATTGAATTGAATCGTGATATAGTTATCTCTCTGTCTCTTCTCTCCACTTCTTTTCCTTCCCCCACCTCTCTGTTTCCTTTTGGGTAGTAAGTTTTGCAATACAGGTATTGAAATATATGTGTGTGTGTGTGTGTGTGTATAACATATACATTTACCTACTTTGAACACACAGTTCTTGTCCAGAGTGATTCCAACTGTTTATTGGTCCCTTTATCCTAATAGCCCTCTGAGCTCCCCCCCCCCCACACACACACTTGTGGCAAGTTTCCAACCATTGAGTAAAACATAACCTTTAATTGTAAACCATCACCTACAATTTTCAACCATAGTACCTATTTTTGTTAGGATCATGTAACTGATAATTTTCAAGTGCAATGTTTGCTCTCAAGTAGTTCAATGAAAAAACATCTCCTAGTTAGGATGTTTTTTACCTCAATGTCGCATAACAGGACTTCTTGATCAACGTGCAGTTTTGTATTCTAAAAAAAAGTACCTCCTATTCTTTTTCTCCCCACCTGAGCTTCACCCGCCATGCTCAGGGCTTACTCCTGGCTCTGCACTCGGGTCACTCCTAGTAGGGCTGAGGGACAATGGGGCTCAGGGCCGTGGGATGCTGGGGCTTGAACCTGGCAAGCCCTCTGACTGAAAGCACCTCCCCTACCACCAACAACACCTTTGTTTTTGTGTTTGTTTTTGTTTTTATGAAGCAAGATAGTTTTTACTGAGCAAAAGATAGGAGGAGAGAAGGAAAGTAATAACTTGTTCAAGGGAGAACCGGGGCTCTTAAGAGCAACCCTCCCCCTCTCCCCTCCCCGCCTTTGTAAGGATTGCTAATAGAATACTAGAACACAAACATCTCCAGTGTTACAGTATGAGAATGTTTTCTTAAAAGGACATATCCTACATGCTTAATCTGTTTTTATTGGTCAAGTCCTTGAAATCACTGACCCATGCTGTTTCTATTTTTGAGATACTCTCAAAAACTATTTTTCCATCTGATCGTTCCCTTCCATTTCACACCTTGTATGGGTTTCTGGACTTCTCTGTACCCTTTCTTCATATTCTTTTGTCTCTAGGGTATCGGTCCCTAGTCTGCTGAGCCAGTTTTATAAGCTCAGCCAAAATAAGAAAATGAAATGAAGCACAGTGATGAGCTTGTTAATCTTTTATGTTTGTGAAAATTTTGGTTTATACTTGCCTCTTGGCCCTGTAATTTCAGTTCTTGATTTCAAACCTGATGCCTGAGTAGGTTTTTTTGGTGGTTTTTTCATTTTGGTTTTTGGGATTCATTCTTGGCTCAGAAGTAGTGCTAGGGATTGAACCCGGGCCTCTTGCAGGCAAAGCTTACATTGTAGCCCTTTGAGTTATCTCTCTTGCCCCATTTGTTTTTATTTTTAAGGCTGTCAAACAAACTTAGATTCCTGTGGGGTTTTTTTTTTTTAAGATAAATGGAAGTGCATTTTGTACATATTTAGATAATGCTCAAAATTTTATTACCCAAAAGAGATCTTGCCCTGGAATAACCTGATATGCCTTGTTAGAAATTATCTTGGGCCATCACTCAAAATCTGAATCTGAATCTATTTTTTTTGGGGGGGATCCCCTGGTGTTTTGCCTACATGCTTTAGAACAGCACTGCTATAGTCCATCCTCTGGCTTCATTGAAAGAGGAAAGTTGGTCAGTCACAGTCAATAAATTTCTCCTGTGTTCAAAGGGATCAGTATTAAAAATCTGTGACTTACATGCTCAAAATTAAAATACATCATCTAAGTAACTTCAATAAAGATTGGCATAAGATCCTTTGGGCAAAACTTAAGAGGACTTCTCAGAGTTAAGTTTACTTAAGTTAACTTAAAACGGGCTGGAGCGATAGCTCAGCGGGTAGGGCGTTTGCCTTGCACACAGCCAACATGGCCGACCCGAGTTGATTCCTCCGCCCCACTCGGAGAGCCCGGCAAGCTACTGAGACTATCTAAGGTGGGAAAGATAAGAATGGACTTTGAAATTTCCATTTCTCCTTAACATTTATGCCAGCTAGGGTTCCGAACATTTCATTCAATCATAATCCCTTGAGGGCAGGTACTGACTTTAGAGCACCTTCTTTATAAACAAGGACGGCGCCAGCCTCGGCCTGGGAGTCGTGGCAAGATGCAGCCAGTATTCAAATTATAGATGCCAAGGAATGGCAGCAGAATGAGGAAGAGAAGCAATTAAGGTAACAATGACAAACAGGTTATTTGTGATGAGCTGAAAAGCATCCACAGTGTTCAGCAATTGATTCTGGGCTAGTTTTAATTTTAGCACATCAAATTGATGGGAGGTTTTTGAATACGGGAGATTTAGGTGTTTTAGGAAAGACAGAAGTCCACGCTATTCTTGTAAGCTTTTGAAAGGAAGCAGAAAACTTCGTCTGCTAGACAAAGGAAGTTGAACCTGAATTTGAACTCTGGCTGAATTAACTGGGCCTTTCCAAGGACCAATTTCTACAAATGGGTTTAATACCTACTTCACAGTGGTTATGAGGATTAAGTGAGATTAATGCACATCACATACTCTGAACACAGCAGGAACTCCGTCAAGTGGAACGAGGATTGTGTGGGGCTTACTGAGGGGGGGGGGGGGGGTGTTGTGCTCAGGAACTCATGTTTTGTTTACAGGATTCCCGGGTTAGATCCCATGCAACATAGGTCCTGAAGGCTGCCAGGATTAGTTTCCCCTCTACACATTTCCACTGCGTGTGACTGAACAACACCCCTACCACACCATCCCCCCCCACAAAAAATGGGAAAATAACGGCTTCTGAGCGGTTAGATTGAAAGAGAAGGATCTAAAGGTGGTCCATGGTGTCTGAGCCCGTTGTGCCAGGAGAAGGGGCACTCGAAGCCGGACAGGCTTAGAAAGAACCTTTGCAAGGCGCTTGAAGCTGCTGTTTGCCTCGAAGAGCTCCCTACCAAGAATTCCGCCTCCCAGGGTGGTTGGGCAAAGTTGAGTTGGTGGAGTTCAGGTTCTCTTCCGCCTTGAACGAGCCTCCTTCCAAACCCGGGCACGGACATGTACCTAGAGCATGCTAAAAGGAGTCATTTTTGTTTTGTTCCGGGGCCCCACCCACTCAGGGATCACTCCGAGCGGTGCGGGGGCGTCGACCAGGAGAGCCGAGCGCGCAAGCTGCTGGGCTTTCTCAAGCACATCCGAACAGGCTTGGCCGTTCTCGTGCACACGCTGGAGCAGGGCAGGGCGCTCTTATTCACACGCTGAACAGGGTTGGCCATTCTGAGGCACACGCGGCAGGGCCGGTCGCTATGAAGCACACGCGAGTGCCTAGCCGTCCTGAGGCACACGCGTGACAGGGCTGCCGTCCTGAGGCACACGCCAGCGGCCCGCCCGAGGCACACACGATAGTCCGGGTGTTCTGAGGCACACGCGAGAGTCCGGGTGTTCTGAGGCACACGCGACAGGGCTGCCGTCCTGAGGCACACGCGAGAGTCCGGGTGTCCTGAGGCACACGCGACAGGGCTGCCGTCCTGAGGCACATGCGACAGGGTGGCCGTCCTGAGACACGCGAGAGTCCGGGTGTTCTGAGGCACACGCGACAGGGCTGCCGTCCTGAGGCACATGCGACAGGGCGGCCGTCCTGAGACACGCGAGAGTCCGGGTGTTCTGAGGCACACGCGTGACAGGGCGGCCGTCCTGAGGCACACGTGAGCGGCCCAGCGTCCTGAGGCACACGCGACAGGGCGGCCGTCCTGAGGCACATGCGAGCGGCCCGCCCCTGAGGCACACGCGAGAGTCCGGGTGTTCTGAGGCACACGCGACAGGGCGGCCGTCCTGGGCGTTTGCGCGCGGACGCGCTGTGGTTAGGCCCCACCTGCGGGGCTCAGCCCGGCCCGCGCCTCCGGGCAACCCGACGACGCCAGCCTCGGCCCCGGGAGCGGGAAAGCGGCCACGGAGCATCAGGACGTCAACGTCTCTTCGGCCCCCGTGAGGAGCGGGCTGGGTGGCCGGTGGGCGCGTCTCCCCGCGCCCTGGGCCCCTCTCACCGGCCCCGACCCCGGCGGCGTCTGTCTCTGCGTCCCCCTCCGTCCCCATTCCTGACCCCTCTCACATCGCCTGACTGAACGGGGGCGCAGGCCTTGTCGGCCTTCCCTCTCCCCCGCCGGTCTGTCCTGCTAGGTAGAGGGGCGCAGTTTGGGATGGGTTTGGGCGAGCTTCCTACTAACGAGTCTGGAAAATGCTTGAATCTACCTTTATTTAGTTTGAAAACAAATTTGAGTTAAAAAAACCCAAACATTTGGGGCGTTTGTTTTGGTCTTTTGGTGAAATAATTTTAAAGACGGATGGGTGGGGGGTTTTAGCTCTCTGCTTCGGGCGGAACAGATAGCCGCTGCAGGTCTTGGACTTCTTTAGCGCCAGGGTTGACTCTTCCCACTTCATCTTCCAGGTTCTAGGACAGCTGGAGCTCAAGTCTGGACCTGCCTGAGAAAGTCTGGGTTCTGTGATTCTAGGGGCGTGACAAGGAAGAATCACATAAATCTAATAAAAGTGATGTGTAGGGGGAAGTTCAGATTTAGCATAAAACATGTCTATAGAGAAAAGCAAGTGTTTCATAGGAAAAGTAAAGAAGCCCAGGGATACTCATAAGTAGAGTAGATACAAGTTGCTGACAGGAACAATTGATCCAAGTTTTTCTGTTTCGACTTGTTTGTTTGTTTGTTTTGGGTGACACCTTGAAATGCTCAGTGGTTGCTCCTGGCTCTACACTCAGAATTACTCTTGGCAGTGCTGAGGGATCCGTACGGGGTCAGCCACATGGAAGGCAAACACCTCACCCGCTGTACTATTCTCTGGCCCCTCCCTAGACTGTTTAAATTTATTGTTGCTGGAGATAACCCAGCTTTTATAGTAAGTGTGAAAAATTATTATGAAAACCCCATTTTCATAGTAATAATGAAAGTCTTATTAATGCAAACAGAACTCAATGTTTTAGTAATTTTATCTAGTGGAAATAACACAAAAGGAAAAATGCTAAACAACTGCGTTGCGTTCACAGTAGAGTCAAAGCAAATGTGGAACAATAATCAACAATTATGATAATAAATGGGAATGCACTGCTTACTATGAAGACAAAAGCATCCTTGGAAGTTAAGAAATATCAAAATAATCTGCTGCTTTAATTGGGTACTGAGATGTTAAAAGTAAAGCACTCATAGGTGCCCTTATAGACCTCATTCTCCTGCCAGCCCTAATAGTATCTTTGTTTTGTTGTTATTATTGGTGCTTTGATGCCACATCCGGTGCAACTCAGAACTTACTCTTGGTTCTGCACTCAGGAATTACTCCTGGTGGACTGGAGGACCATATGGGGTGCCCAGCACCGAACCTGGGGTGACCATGTACAAGGCAAACACCCTATCTGCTCTATATGGCTCTAGAGTCCCTTCGCTTTTTGGTTTTATTTTACGGCCACACCCAATGATATTCAACGCTTACTTCCTGCTCTGAATTCAGGAATCACTCCTGGCAGTGCTCGGGACCTAAACCTGGGTCAACCATGAGCAAGACAAGCACCACTAGACTATCTTTCCAGTCGCATCCCTTTGTTTCATATTCCCGTGAGGAAGATGAGACACTTAAGGGCTAACTAAGTAAATTGCTTCATACTTGCTCCAGGCTTCTGGGAGCTGCAGTTCATGCCCAAATCACGCTTACTCCCCATTATTCTGCTGCTTTGTGGTTGTGAGGCTCTCATCAGAAAGCTAAGACAGTCGGCAGCTTCCTGTTTCCATGATACATATGAGTGTATGTATTTTATTTTTTGAATCACCATGAGAGCAGTTACAAATAAGTATGTAAATATAGGAAGCAGCCATTTTCAACATTTTCCATGTTGCCAGGAATTTGTATCCCTTAGAGAGTATAGCGGGGAGGATGCTTATAAGGCAGCTGACCCAGATTTGATCCCAACACTTCACATGATCCTGGAACACCACCAGGAATGATCCCTGAGCACATCAGGAGTAAGTCCTGAGCACCGCTGGTCTCAAAATTGAAACAAAACTTTTCTCAAAATCCATATCACATCAATTTGATATTTGTTTACTTTTGCTTCGAACTTCCAGCATAATCAAGTAGGCCATAAATCTTAATAATAATTCTAAGACAATTTTGGATTTATATGATTCTTTTTCCCCCAGGAACACCAAATATTGACACAACACAATTATCCTTAAGACATCTCTATGAGATAGTCGTTTATTATTCTAATTTCCCAAAGAGTATATATTTATTCAGAAAGCACCTAAGTTTGTAAAGTAGCAATTTAAAGTAATTTTATAGGTGGAAATAATCATTTATAGCTTTTATTTTAGAATGATGAATTTGCTATATGTATGTAGAGGTAAATATTTTATTATATAGTTTATGAAATATATCATTTAACTTCCATAGAACACCTTTCAAATGAATAAACACGTTTTATATTTGTTAATAGAGAACATCCCAGGGGGCCTCGTCGATTGTAAGAGAAGGATGGTGGAGAGCAACATTAACTGTATGTACAGTTTTGGTCCTTTCTATTCAAATATTTTTTGTTCCCTTAATGATTATTTTTTCCTTTAAGTCACTAACCATTAGAAATAATAATAATAATTAAAAAAGCAGTGGTGGTTCAGATATGCCGGGCCTCATTTCATACATATAATTTTAGTATCAGCATAAAATATAAAACTAAATTTTAAATGCAGTAAATTGGAAAAGGACAAGAAGCCGATGAGTCCAGAGCCATTTCAGAGCAAGCAATAGGGGCTGGAGAGGTGGCACAGTGCTAAGGCACTTGCCTTGCACACGGCAGAATCAGGTTAAATCCCCCGGCACCCCAGATGGCACTGCCAGGAGTCACCCCTAGCACAGAGCAAAGAGCAAGTCCTGAGCACAGCCAGGTATGGCCCAAAACAAAGCAAAAAGGATAAACCTATAAGAGCTTTACCAAAATCTTGATAAGATCACCCTAGCTTATACACAGTCTTGGGGAGGTCACAGGATGGAGGAGCCCATGGCCTGGACACTTGGCTTTCAAAATCTATCTTAATTATCTTTGAAGCCCCTGATAACTTTTATTAAAATCATGTATGAGGGGCTGGAGCAATAGCACAGCGGGTAGGGTGTTTGCCTTGCACCTGGGTTGGATTCCAGCATCCCATATGGTCCCCTGAGCACTGCCAGGAGTAATTTCTGAGTGTATGAACCAGGAGTGATTCCTGTGCATTACTGGGTGTGACCCAAAAAGTAATAAATAAATAAATAAATAAAAATTGTGTATGAAAGCCTAGTTTGTAATTCATGAAGGAAAAATGGCAAGGCATCTTTTTTTTTTTTTAATGTAGGAGTTCGATTCCTCCGCCCCTCTCGGAGAGCCCGGCAAGCTACCGAGAGTATTCGATATGCCAGACACAGTAACAACAAAGTCTCCAATGGAGACGTTACTGGGCCCGCTCGAGCAAATCGACGATCAACGGGAGGGCCTTTACCTTTACCTTAATGTAGGAGTACTGCTATTTTTTTCAGCCACTGGCTGATTGAATTGGGCATAAACTCCACCTTACCTTTTTTTTTTTTATTTTTTTATAATTTTATTTTTTGAATCACCATGAGAGCATTTACAAAGCTTTCAGGTTTAAGTCTCTGTCATACAATGAAACACCCGTACCTTCACCAGTGCCCATTCTCCACCCCCAAAAACCCAGGTAAGCCCCCATCCCACACCCTCCCCCCACCTGTGGAGCAGATGATTTTCACATTACTCACTCCACTTTGATTACATTCAATATTTTGACACCAGACCCACCATTATTATTTGGGATTTTACCCCAACACTCATATCTGCTGAAAAGGCAACAGTAGACAATTTGTTTTCTATTGCTGGTTATGAATAACGTATGACGTCGCATGGCTGCAGCAGTGGCCATGCGATTTTGAAATTCCGAAATTTTAACAATTAAATCTGGAGGGATTTCTGAGCAAGGCATCTTTCTTGGGAGACATCATTTCTGTGTTGATGCAATGGTTTCTCTCAACACTGTTCAACAACCAAGAGTCAAACTGGGAATTAATTGTGCCCGCTTTGATGGTGAGACTGAGCTGGGTGCCCAGCAAAAGAGTGAATGGCAGCTAAGGTTTCAAGGGCTGTTCAGCCATGGTGTGGTTGTGTTTGGAAATGACCAAATTTCTTGACTCATCAGACTATCTGCTGTTCCATTTTATCCTGTCTCCTGTTACTACTATCCTTAAGCTTCCCACTCAGAATGATAATTTATTTACTAAGCACAACTAGAATACCTTCTATTGAGCTCAACAGTCTTGATTGGACATTTCGAGCTGAATGGAATCTCAAGCTTAAATATCTCTGAAACTGCTTTTAACTACTTGTTTGTTTGCTTGTTGGCTTATACCCAGTGGTGCTCAGGACTTACTCCTGGCTCTGCACTGAGGGATCACTTCTGGCGGACTCTGGGCAGGGGGCAAGGGCATAATGGCCAGTTGCTCCTTTAAAGACAAGCTCGCTCAAGCATTAATTCTGTGGTTTGCTCAGGGCTGGGAGCAGGGGATTGAACCAGGTTGGCTGCATGCAAGGTAAAGTGCCCTATTTGCGCCAGCCCCTTTAATTACCTTTTTAAATGTCAGAACTGGCTGGGAATGTCATTCAAGTGGTAGAAGGTAGGCCTTGCTTGTGTGAGGTCCCGAATTCGATTCTCAACCCACATATCTCTCTGAGCACATCCACACAATGATTTTTTTTTTTAATGAAAAACGAAAACTTAAGCTGGAACCTCTTGACTATCATTTGGCAGTTGTCTTTTTAAAAAGTCATGATCAGAGCCAGAGTGATAGTTCAGCAGATAGGGCACTTGCCTTGGCACCCGATATGGTTCCCCTACCCTGCCAGGAGTGATCCCTGAGCACAGAGTCTGGAGCAATCTCTGAGCACCACCAGGTATGGCCCAAACCTCCCCCAAAACAATAAAGAAGGAAAAAAAAAAGAATCAAAATTCATACATAATCAAAATTCCTTTTGAATATTAGTCAGCCAGACTGTTTATTTTAAAAGATTTTTTAAGGTTTAAAACAAAGAGAATTGCTACTTGGGATTAATGTTTTAGAAGATGTCACCAATTTGCACACTGATTTGCTGTCAATTTCCTACAGGATACTCCAGCCCCTGGCACTTATCACTTAAAAACTTTCCTTGAAGACGCCCTATCAAATCCAGTGACTACAACCTACAATTTTAAAAATGAGGGGAGAAAAAGACTACCTCTTGTGCAAAGATATTATCCGGTGCTCACTGACCTCCCGCAGTACATGCCCCCTGACTTTGTAGAATTGTTAAGTAAGCGATTAGCCAGTTACTCCTTTAAAGACAAAGCTCGCCCAAGCATCATCTCTGCAATTTACAAAGATCAGGTAAAGTGCAAGTACGGGGCTTGGTGGGAAGGTTGTTCCGAACCCTATGGGGGGTTCCCCAGGATGCTGTATTTCCCGCAGAACCCACATCAACTCGCTGCATTTGCGACGTACCCGAAAGTTTTCCCTGTGAGAGCTGCTAGGGATGTTGGGATGCCAAGTCTGTAAGGAGTACACAGGGAAAGTTGTTCTTTGTGGGGATCCCTTAGCTGCATTCCTCCAACTTGGAAAGTCTGAAGACTTCATGCTTTGTGCTTCTGGTCCTACCCTCTTTCTTTTTTCGAAAGAGAAAATGCTGCTTCTTGGTGAGCAGTAGAGCATGGAGAGGAGGTGCCCGAGGGAACCTCTCACAAGTGTTTCTTGTGGAACGGAGCACTGTGGTTCCGAGAGGGACATACCTGATGTCACTAACACAGGACTGTGATATTCGTAGCCCTTCTTTTGGCTCTCTTGGAGAGGGAAGGTGCTTCTGACAGAAATGTTTAAGTAACAAAGGCTGCGATAAAGAGCATAGCAGGAAATGTCAGGGGGAAGTTCAGCGTAGTTGAGATTGAAGGGCTGGAAGGCTCCCTGGATTAAGTAGGAGTCGAGCTGGACCTTGAATAATGCGTGACATTTATGTGGCTCTTAATCGCTAGCCATGAGCATCCACCTATCTTCTTCCGTTTTCCTTCTCAAGCTTTCTGAACAAGGTGGCTATGTTATCTCCGTTTAATATCCACGAGAACTGAAGTGAATTGAAATTAGTGTCACTTGATTGGAGATGTAGTGTTCAGGAGTGGAGAGGTACTCGTTTCACTCAGGGCTTCTGCATCCAAATTCTGGGCCCTGGCCAGCCTACCAGGTAACTGTGACCTTGAATGAGGACAAGGCTTTGGCTGGGTGGAATCTGATGAAGGGGGAGAGCATTGTCAGAGCCCTAATCGGGGCCAGAGTTATGACCTGAACTTTGTTGCTTTGGACTTCAGGCCTTGGAATCATCCCTGTACAGAGAAGTGACTCAAAAGATGAAATGCTCACAACTTCATCAGGCTACTTTGATAACCTGAAGATAAAGTGCAGTTGGAGGTTGAATCAAAGGCAAGGAGGTGTGGTTACAAGGATGGATAAGGAATGTGCCAAGCAGGATGAGCCCATGGCACATGTGACTGTGAGCCCTTCCGACTGCTTTGCAGATTAGAGCTTTGGAGCAGGACGGCGTGATAAATGTTTATTGGGTAATGCTTGTCCTGTTCGCTTCGATGAATGAGTACAAGCGCTGAATTATCCTAGACATTCATGCCCGGCTATACTGCACTTGAAACTGTCCTGGCCACCTTCCCTGAAAAACATCTTCCTGCTTCTCCACCCCCACTTTCTCCTATTCCTTCCCCTCTCCTTTCTTGTAGGGTGTCTAAGCATAGTTCCACTGCTTAATGGCGAGATTACTGAAGATTGACAGCAGGCAAAGTGTAGGACTTTCAAAACCAAAAGAATTTGGTTTGCCCAAAAAGGTGTATAAACTGCCAGAAAACACCCTTTCTCTGTCTCCTACCTCCTTCTCTCTCTTTCTCCTGCAAAAGATTGAGTTCTACAGACTGAAATCATGATGTGTTTCCCTAAAACAGAGATTTTAAACATATATGGCAATATGGTTCAAGGGAGAGATATATTCCGATGGAATGTTCTTTATTCACTTAATTTACTTTATTATGTTTCTTTATAGAAGTAAAATAGTTTGAATTTAAGCTAGATAATATACGTTATTGTTGCTTATTAAGACAGAACAACTTTTTCATGCTCCATGATTTTTATTTTATTTTATTTTTATTTTTGAGCCATCCCTAGCTGTGCTCAGGGTTTACTCTTTACTCTGTGCTCAGGGATAAGTGCTGGCAGGGCTCTGGGGCCCATGTGGTTGCCAGGAACTGAACCCAGGTTGGTCACATGAATAAGTGCACTAACTACTGTACTATCTCTTCAGCTCTAGTACATTCACTTTATACCTCAGTACTGCTTTTAATTTGTGATAAGGATTTTGCTTTGTTTGTTTTTTCTGGGCCACACTCAGCAGTACTCAGGGCTGACTCCTGACTCTGCACTCAGGGATCATTTCTGGAGAGCTTGGGGCACCATTTAAGGTGCTGGGGATTGAATCCCAGATTGACTGCGTACAAAGCAAGCACCTTACTATATTATCTTTCCAGCCCCAAGACTTTACTGAATTTTTTGTTTGTTTTTACACTTTAAAAAAATTATTTTAATGTAGTCAAAAGCCACAACTGTTGATACAGTTTTAGAGTTGACATGGTTATATAACAGAACTCCAATAATAAAATTGATAAGTATTAACAATGTTGGATCTTTTGTCATAATATTGAGTGTGATCAATGTAGAGAGAGAGAGTAAAGTGGAAATCTGCCACACAGGCAGGGGGTGGGAGGGAGGGGGGTATACTGGGGTTCTTGGTGGTGGAAAATGTGCACTGGTGAAGGTACGGGTGTTTGATCATTGTATGACCGGCCGAAACTTGAGCTGAAAGGTTTTGTGACTGTTTTCACAGCGATCCAATAAATAAATAAAATTTTAAAAAAAGATAAGTATTAAAAATAATCAGAGGTCAGAGAAATAATACAATCAGGCAGGGCACTTGCCTTGCAAGCAGCCAACCTGGGTTTGAGCCCTGGCATTCCATATGGTTCCCTGGGCACCACCAGCAGTAATTCCCTCTGAGTGAAGAGCCAAGAGTTAAACCTGGGCATCACTGGGTCTGGTCCACACACACACACACACACACACACACACACACACATACACACACAGATACACACACAAGATCAATTTTTTTTTCAGGTTAGAAACATGTCTTATTTATTTACCTATTTTATTGAATCACTGTGAGATAGAGCTACAAAGTTGTTCATGATTGGGTTTTAGTTATTCAATGTTCCAACACCCATGCCCTCACCAGTGTACATTTCCCACTACCGATGTCCCAAGTTTCCCTCCTGCCACTCCCCACTCCACCACCCCAGCCTGCCTCTGTGGCAGACACTCTTCTTCTCTCTTGTTCTTGCACATATACACTTTCTCTCTCTTACACTTGGAGCATTATGGTTTGCATTACAGGTACTGAAAGGTTGTCATGTATGTCTCTTTACCTCCTTTTTTTTTGGATTGAAATTTTTTTTGTTAATTTTATTTTTATTATTATTAGTGAAACACCATGAGGTACAGTTGTAGATTTACAATTTTTTGTGCTTGGGTTTCGATTATACAATGGTCAAATACAGTTCTTGTCCAGAGTGATCATTTCCAGCTATCATCGTCATAGTGGTACAAGATCCATTTTTGAAGTGTGAAAATTGTTTCATCTCATCATAGGGTTGTTAAGTCCTTGTCTATGAATTTATTAAGCTGTTTGTTGCTAGTTGAGCCTTCTGTGTTATTGTTTTTGGATGTTAAGTTCAGTTGTCTTCTACATTATTTTCCCATCTAATTCGGTGTGCTCCTACTGGAATGTCAGTATTGAGGAATCAGGAGTTGCTGTATGGTCCAGAAACTTCAAGGTCTATGGTCTGGGCCAGGAAGTTGGCATGGTGGCTGCCGGGGCATCCAGAAGCACGGGAGGTGGAGGAGGCTGCAGACCAGAGTTCTTAGTCCGGGAGCCAGGGTACCTGAAATTATTAGCAGTTCGGCATCTCTGCAAGGAATATTTGTAAAGCGCTGGATTTGAGCCCCTGGTATGGGTGCAGCTGCTGGGGCTTTGGCAGTGTGGGAACTTGGCTGCCTGCCCACCGAGGGCACCTTAGAGTTTCAGCTGCAGAGACTGGAGTGTCCATAAGTTTTAGCTGCTTGGCTTGTATCTCCTCAGAGATTTGGTCAGGAGCATGGCCAGTGGGTGAGCTAACATGGTGGCGGCTATGGGAGACGGGCCAAGAATTTACTATTTTTAACACTTTTATTCTGAAGCATGTAACTAGGGAATCGAAATCAAAGAATCTGGTAGTTATATAGATACAGCTACATATTGGAGTGTGTGTGTGTGTGTGTATGTGTGTGTGTGTGTGTGCTTACATTCATCTGTATCTTGCTCTTTCCAAAGAGGGTTTTAGAAGATCCTCCAATTTTCACAGTCGCTTTTTCCTCATCAAGGAAATAATTTTTTTTTTATTGTAGAGTGTATCCAAACTTGGGGATGTTTCTTTCCACATCTGGTTTTAACTGCTTCCCCCACATCCAACTGCTAACAGGAGTTTTCTCCTAATGTTGACAAAGATTTTCAGTTGCCTTTGCTCTCTGTCCCCTCTTCCAGCATAATTTCAGGACAGATGTAGCCCAGAGTCTGGCCTCAGTTTCTTTCTGTTTTTTTGGGGGGTGTTTTTGGGGCCACATCCAGCAGTGCTCAGGGGTTACTCCTGGCTCTGCACTGAGGAATTACTCATTGCGGCACTTAGAGGACCATATAGGATGCCGGGGATGGATGTCAGCTATGTCCAAGGCAAGAGCCTTCCCCATTGTACCAGAGCTCTCTGGCTCTGGTTTCTTAAACTCTCTTCTGCATAGCCACTCCTTAGATTTTTTTCAAGACCAATCATTTCAACCCTAATAATCCAAATTGCTGTGCACCCCGAACGTTTATGTTTCAAAGTTAATGATTAGAGCTATTCCCAGCATGCACCCTCAATTCCCTTCCCTTGATGGCTTATCTCTCTTGTTTGGCAAAGCCACAGACCTGGTTAAATCCAAGTCTCAGTGAACTTTGGACCAGCATTCAAATGGTAGAATGAGTGATCCCATTTTAAATTCTATATGTCACCTGGGCCCTGACCGAATGTCGCAGTTTATTTACTTTCCCCTTCTGCTGGGCAGTTTTATCCTGGAGATGCTCAGAACCATACGGGATAACGGGGATCGAACCAGGTCTACCACTTATCTCCTCTCCTTTAAAAGCCCTGACTGGGAAATATTCTGGGGTTTTTGGTGGTGGAAAATGTGCACTGGTGAAGGGACGGGTGTTT